CTATCCATCCATCCATCCGTCCATCCATCCATCCATCCATCCAGCAATCCATCCATCCATCTCTCCATACATTCATTCATCCATCCATCCATACATTCTTGCCACACATAGTGACATAAGTATAAGTATACATACAGACATAATATATTCGTATTACCAATAATTAATTAAACAGTCGTATAAAAATAAAAAATAAATGTTAATAGCAAAATAGACAATATATTACAACTATAAAACGGCAAAAATATTGATATGGCAAAAATAGCAAAGCAGCAAAAATAGCAAAAATAGCAAAAATAGCAAAAATAGCAAATGGCAAAAATTGCAAAACAGACGCCAAAAACGATAAATCGTGGTGGTGGCAGCACCATCCAACGCCGACGATTCGGCGATAAGTATGGCGGGAGAAAAAAGTAATGCCGTTGTAGCGGCCCGAGAAACGATGCAAAGTAAGGCTGATAGGGTGTTTTCTTTCTTTGTTCGCGGTTATTATGTACAACCATTTACATCATGTATAATCTAGAGGTTTAATTTTAAGTTATAACCAGCGTATCATAGTAGTATTAATAGTTTAATCCAAGTCACTGAGTCTTGCATCGTGTTGAACGGTGTTTTACTGTTTACAAATGACGGACCAATGTTCCTTGTAAAACGTTCGAATTTCAAACTTTCGAGTCAGAGTGCCTTTAGAAACAAATAAGATTTGGCGAGAACTTATAAGTTATGCTATCGTCAGGAAGTTAATCTACTGCTAAGTACGTACATAATTATAATAGTAATACTAATACTATATTTATAATACATTTATTATTTAGGCCTAACTCAGTTTTAACTGTTAACAAGTTCTATTTTTTTATAGACTATTTTAGTATTGTATTACTGGTAAACTGCCAGTGCTACTGTGAAAATTAAGTATCCCTAAGTAAGGCTGAGAGGGTCTATGTACCCCAGGTTACCCCAGGCAGCGTTAACAGCCAGCGGCAGTTAATGTAAGCGGGCTATAGTACTAGAGCTAACCGGAACGTACCCTGGTACTATCTAATATGCCGGACCGTACGTCGCCTACTCCACTAACGAGTCTAGGGAGTCGCCTACGCCTACTCTTAGCTCTAGTACTATAGCCGGCGTACAGTTGCCGCCTGCCTTATACCCTAACCCTAACCTTAATCATATCAAATAGTTACCAGGGTACGTTCTGGCAGTACCCTGGGGGACATAGACCCTATGAGCCTTAGTAAGTGTGATCCAGACAAGTTTACCGATAAACCGCTAACAACGCTGACTTCTCCCCTGGTCGTCTGTCGCACACAGTCCTGCAGGAGATTTCCTCTCTACTCGGCACGGGACTGGACAAGGAAACCCTGGCGCTGTGCGTGCAGCTGTGTGAGGCAGGAGTGAATCCAGAAGCTCTAGCAGTCGTCATACAGGAGCTGAGACGCGAGGCAGCCAACATCAAGGTGCGCATCTCACGATTAAGCTTATATATATCGCTGTGGCTATATGCCCGGCAGCCAGGCACGGTCTTCGATTTCCTAAATGCCCGGCAGTTCCTAACCCTAACTTACTTGAGATAACGCTGGAAATTTAAAACTGCCGGGCATTTAGGAAATCGAAGACCGTGCATTATATACATGTGTGTATGTATATGTATATATATATATATATTATTATTATTATTATAAGAGCGGCCAATCAAGGAAATTACACCTGTTCGAGTGCATGTACATGTCAATGTATGTGTGTGTAATGTGTATATATATTTATATTATAATTTATAAGGGCCAATCAGTTAAAATACACAAGGTGTCCTGTATAGACAGGTGCAGGGGTCCAAATATGCGATGGTCCGATGGTCCGATGGCTATCAAATAATCAGGAGGACCATCAGATTTTCAAAGTCAATGATCCGACCGACTCCGACGAACCATTGAATATTTTGGTCTTATTTTACGGTTCCTAACAACCTTTGAGCCAGGGCGCTATCGCACCACATTCTCACGTCAAACATTTTCAAAGGTCCCGGAAAAAAGCAGCACGCGACACCCACTGTTACCATTACAGATTTATTCAGAGCGGCAGCGCGTACCTCCCTGGCTGGGGCGGCATTGATTGATGTACTGGTGGGGGGTGCACGATTGTTTATAAGTCGCTTGGGCATGTTCATTACTGAATATTGACGTGGGCATCGTTGGGATGAGAGGACGACAGCAAAACTCCTGGGATTGAGGAAAAAGCTGCAATTGGGAATTTAACACACAATGAGCGTGTCGGCACACAAAAATAAACGTTGTGTGAATTTCATTACGATTTTACATGTACTGTATTTACTTGTGTGTAAGTATTATTCATGTATAAGTCGCACCCCATATTTTGCCTTGAAAAGTTGGTACAAACATTGCTACATTAACAAGATTTCTTAGCCTCATCTATAAGTCACACCCCCTGATTTTTAGCTCGCCTTGACATCGTCAAGATGAGCTATTGCCATGGGGTGTTGTCCGTCGTACGTTCGTCCGTCCGTCCGTCCGTCCGTCCGTCAACATTTGGCTACGGTCAACGATAACTCAAGAACCGTTTGACCCACATGTTTCAAATTGCATATATATATAGTTTTTACTCCTATATAATGTGAGAGGTTTGAACGTCCTATTTTGGAGCACGCCAGTTGACCTACATTCGAGCCACGTCCACTTTTTGGAAAAAATGGAAATGGCCATAAGTCAGTTCAGGTTCAATGGATTTTGCTCATTTCTGGTATGTGAATGAATGAGGACTGGCCCCAAAACATATCACACAGGTTTTGATATTTTTTTTAAACTATGCAAATTAGGTAGATTTTGCCAATTTCACTATGCATTTCAGTGTCTGTCTACGGTCAACGATAACTCAAGAACCGTTTGACCCACATGTTTCAAATTGCATGCAAATCAGTTGTTACTCCTATGGGAGAGGTTGAACGTCCTATTTTGGAGCACGCCAGTCGACCTACTTTTGAGCCACGCCCACTTTTTGGCAAAAATGAAAATGGCCATCTAAATTCATTCGATTTTGTTAAATTTTGGTATGTGAATGTGTAAGGCTAGCCCCAAAACAGTTGTTACTCCTATGGGAGAGATGACAACATCCTATTATGTTTATTTTGTCTAACTGGTAAACAACTCTACAATCATATCTATATACGTGTAATATTGTGTTTTAGATTCTTCGTTACAGTAATTTGACTGGAATATTTTATTGTTTTTATTTGCGCGATATTCGAAAACCAATATGGCGATCATTTAGGCGTAGCGCCATCTCTCGTCAAGATTTCAGACTTTCAGATCTGAACCATTTATTTTCGCATCAAAACTTATGCATATATCATTATCAAGAGTATATAATGGGAGATATGCTATATAATGGGAGTTCTCTTATATATATAAACTCTTGCTTTATATATCCCCCCTCCCTCTTCTATCACACCCAAGGTGAGCTACAGTGTCATTGACACTTTCATTTTGATTGAAGTTGAGTTTTTTTTTTAAGTGCGGTTTATACACGAGTAAATATGGTATATACTGTAATATTAAGAGTGCATAATATATATATATATATTATCTACATCTATCTATATATGTTATATATGTATATATATCAGGAGTAGATAATAGGGAAGTCCTGAGTGTGACTTCAATAAACAAGGGAAATTCGTCATTTACTAGCTTTATAATACCTACGATTTACTACGCCTAACTCATCCAACTTGAGCTCAAATCGTACACAGTACATTCTCCTAGCATCGTGCGAAATCGTTTCCTCGTATACACCCGCAATCCGGAGATACAGACTAAAACGTACGACACGATTATCCATTCTTTGGTCATCAATCCGAACGTATTCCCCGCCGAATTTGAAACAAAAGGCAGCTACTAACCACAGCTTGCTCTCTCGCCGAGGCGGTGTGGCTCGAGGGAGATTGGACATCGACGCAACACTCGGCGAGATAACCTTTGACCCGGCATACAGCTACATACCAGCATACCGGCATACAGCTGGTATGCCCCCCACTCACGCACGCCCACCGCAATCAGCAGCAGCTCCAGCTCCAATCTCCCGGTGCACCCAGCCACCTACTCACCGAGAGAGCAAGCTGTGGTTAGTAGCTGCCTTTTGTTTCAAATTCGGCGCTGAACGCATCGA